GGCCTTAACAGTGAACGTAACGTCTTTAACCTGCCGCCGCCATCCCTCACAATCCCGCGGCGCGACAAACTAGGGCGGCTCGACAAGTCGATATCAATCAATGAATCGATGTGCAGTTAACGCCTCCAAGTGCAAATTACCACCGCCGACTCACACCGCGCAGTTATCTCCTCCTCGTTTGACGACCTCAAGCTCACACGAGCTGGCACGCCGTCCGCGGGGGAGGCGGGGGGGGGCGCACACAAATGCCCTCTCATTATGCGCGAGTTTTTCGTAAAGCAGAAAAGCAAACTCGCGTCCTCTCCACGGGTCCCCTCCAGACACAATGACCTCCAGCGCCGCAAGGAGACCGCCACAACAGCCCCTGGGCACGGCCCCCTCCGTCTAACAGCGGCACCAACAACGCTTGCCAACGCAAACTAAAGTCACGGGTGCACGCGCTGCGTTTCACTCGTTCAGTAACAACGGCACCGCACATCCGACCGTCAAATATTCAAACTCGAACAATAAAGCGTCCGCACCACCCGGTGTGGTAGCATTTGAGTGCGGTGTCGCTATTACCCGCAGCCCACTTTACACCCGCACTCCGAAGTTACTTACTGATCCTCGCTCAAGCTTCGTCAGTTTGATTCTGGCTGTGGCGAGAAGTGCAGGGTGCTCCCCAACTCAAACTGAACAGAGTATTAATTGTTAGCGCAACAGCCGGCGGAGAAAAACAAGCCGAACACAAATCCATGGCTACGGCAAACATGGGTCCACCGGTTGGCAAGCGAGCGAGGAGACCCGCGCAGTTGGGGGTGTGTGGACAGAGGTGTCTCATCAAAACAAACACGAGAGCGGCAGTGTCACATCAGCCTGCCACAGCATCGACGACGCCAGATGTCGGAGGCACTCCGTGACGCTCAAGAGCTCAAAAGTGCGCAGGGAGGGGAACGCTTCGAATTACAATGAGTGACAGAAAGAAGAACACTGGGATCTGAGAACATATCCAAGGTTAAATGTTTCGGGCCATTTAGAAAAGTGGGCTCAGGCAGGAAACACGTCGCTGGGAAGGATGATGGCCGGCAGTCGAGACTCGCACTGGAGTGGAAGCCAGCGTGAATGCGCCTGATAGCACGTTTATCGAGGAGACAGAAGAGGGAGACAGTGGCTGACAGAGACACTGGATGACAGAGACACTGGATGACAGAGATGTTATCTCCCTCGCCTGGTATGCAGGGGCCATGGGTTCGGTCCAGATCCTGACGCCTGCTGTATATTTGTAGTTTGCGTGTTTCTCTCTCCCATGGTGATTTTTCTCCTTGTCCTCCGGTTTTGCCCCTCCACATGAAGAAACATGCTTTTAGATTGATAATTGCTTTTAAATTGTTTTTTTTGGGGGGGCTGCTAATATAAACCTCCCTACATGGATACGAGCCACTTCCATGAGCTGTCATTTGTGGCCAGGTCGCCTCCGAAAAAAATGAATAGTTTATCTTTTTCCGTGACATTTGACGACAGTGACACACGGGTGACAGAGACAACTCCATGCCAGGGACGATGGGTGAGAGGGCCCCATAGGTTCAACACCCAACCCCGGCGCACACAATAAAATACACAGCTCACTCACTCACTCATCACGCGTGCCAATGGCTCATGTTTCTCGGTCGCTGCTGTAGAGAGGCCCAGGGTATGAGGAGTGGGTCACGGGGGTCTCAGGGCTCGAGTTGGGCGGCGTGGGGGAGGCTCTCGGAGACTGGGCTAGCGAGTCTCAGAGGGAGGGGGGGCAAGGAACTAAGTTAGGGGGTTCAGGGACTGGGTTAGGGGGTCTCGGTGAAGGGGAAAAAGGGGGTTCAGTGACTGAGTTAGGGGGTCTTGGTGAAGGGGTTAGGGGGTCTTGGTGAAGGGGTTAAGGGGGTTCAGGGACTGGGTTAGAGGGTCTTGGTGAAGGGGTTAAGGGGGGTTCAGGGACTGGGTTAGGGGGTCTCGGTGAGGGGGTTAAGGGGGTTCAAGGACTGGGTTAGGGGGTCTCGGTGAGGGGGTTAAGGGGGTTCAGGGACTGGGTTAGGGGGTCTCGGTGAAGGGAGTTTAGGGGGTTCAGGGACTGAGTTAGGGGGTCTTGGTGAAGGGGGTTAAGGGGGTTCAGGGACTGAGTTAGGGGGTCTTGGTGAAGGGGGTTAAGGGGGTTCAGGGACTGGGTTAGGGGGTCTCGGTGAAGGGGTTAAGGGGGTTCAGGGACTGGGTTAGGGGGTCTTGGTGAAGGGGTTAAGGGGGTTCAGGGACTGGGTTAGGGGGTCTCGGTGAAGGGATTAAGGGGGTTCAGGGACTGGGTTAGGAGGTCTTGGTGAAGGGGGTTAAGGGGGTTCAGGGACGGGGTTAGGGGGTCTCGGTGAAGGGGGTTAAGGGGGTTCAGGGACTGGGTTAGAGGGTCTCGGTGAAGGGGTTAAGGGGGTTCAGGGACTGGGTTAGGGGGTCTCGGTGAAGGGGGTTAAGGGGGTTCAGGGACTGGGTTAGGGGGTCTCGGTGAGGGGGTTAAGGGGGTTCAGGGACTGGGTTAGGGGGTCTCGGTGAAGGGAGTTTAGGGGGTTCAGGGACTGAGTTAGGGGGTCTTGGTGAAGGGGGTTAAGGGGGTTCAGGGACTGAGTTAGGGGGTCTTGGTGAAGGGGGTTAAGGGGGTTCAGGGACTGGGTTAGGAGGTCTCGGTGAAGGGGTTAAGGGGGTTCAGGGACTGGGTTAGGGGGTCTTGGTGAAGGGGTTAAGGGGGTTCAGGGACTGGGTTAGGGGGTCTCGGTGAAGGGATTAAGGGGGTTCAGGGACTGGGTTAGGGGGTCTTGGTGAAGGGGGTTAAGGGGGTTCAGGGACGGGGTTAGGGGGTCTTGGTGAAGGGGGTTAAGGGGGTTCAGGGACTGGGTTAGGGGGTCTCGGTGAAGGGGTTAAGGGGGTTCAGGGACTGGGTTAGGGGGGCTCGGTGAAGGGGTTAAGGGGGTTCAGGGGCTGGGTTAGGGGGTCTCGGTGAAGGGGGTTAAGGGGTTTCAGGGACTGGGTTAGGGGGGGTCTTGGTGAAGGGGGTTAAGGGGGTTCAGGGACTGGGTTAGGGGGTCTTGGTGGAGGGGTTAAGGGGGGTTCAGGGACTTGGTTAGGGGGTCTCGGTGAAGGGGGTTAAGGGGGTTCAGGGACAGGGTTATGGGGTCTTGGCGAAGGGGTTTAGGGGTCTTGGTGAAGGGGTTAGGGGGTCTTGGTGAAGGGGTTAGGGGGTCTTGGTGAAGGGGGTTCAGGGGGGCTCAGGGACTGGGTTAGGGGGTCTTGGTGAAGGGGTTCAGGGGTCTGGTGAAGGGGTTAGGGGGTCTTGGTGAAGGGGTTTTAGGGGGTTCAGGGACTGGGTTAGGGGGTCTTGGTGAAGGGGTTAAGGGGGTTCAGGGACTGAGTTAGGGGGTCTTGGTGAAGGGGTTAAGGGGGTTCAGGGGACTGGGTTAGGGGGTCTTGGTGAAGGGGGTTAAGGGGTTCAGGGACTGGGTAGGGGGTCTCGGTGAAGAGGTTTAGGGGGTTCAGGGACTGGGTTAGGGGGTCTTGGTGAAGGGGTTAGGGGGTTCAGGACTGGGTTAGGGGGTCTTGGTGAAGGGGTTAGGGGTCAGTGGGACTGGGTTAGGGGGTCTTGGTGAAGGGGGTTAAGGGGGTTCATGGACTGGGTTAGGGTCTTGGTGAAGGGGTTAAGGGGTTCAGACTGGGTTAGGGGTCTTGGTGAAGGGGTTAAGGGGGTTAGGGACTGGGTTAGGGTTTCCTTGGTGAAGGGATTAAGGGGGTTCAGGGACTGAGTTAGGGGGTCTTGGTGAAGGGGGTTAAGGGGGTTCAGGGACTGGGTTAGGGGGTCTTGGTGAAGGGGTTAGGGGGTCTTGGTGAAGGGGTTAAGGGGGTTCAGGGACTGGGTTAGGGGGTCTTGGTGAAGGGGTTAGGGGGTCTTGGTGAAGGGGTTAGGGGGTTCAGGGACTGAGTTAGGGGGTCTTGGTGAAGGGGGTTAAGGGGGTTCAGGGACTGGTTTAGGGGGTCTTGGTGAAGGGGTTAGGGGGTTCAGTGACTGGGTTAGGGGGTCTTGGTGAAGGGGTTAAGGGGGTTCAGGGACTGAGTTAGGGGTCTTGGTGAAGGGGGTTAAGGGGGTTCAGGGACTGAGTTAGGGGGTCTTGGTGAAGGGGGCTCAGGGACTGGGTCAGGGGGTCTTGGTGAAGGAGGTTAAGGGGGGTTCAGGGACTGAGTTAGGGGGTCTTGGTGAAGGGGTTAAGGGGGGTTCAGGGGCTGGGTCAGGGGGTCTTGGTGAAGGGGTTAAGGGGGGTTCAGGGGCTGGGTTAGGGGGTCTTGGTGAAGGGGTTAGGGGGTCTCGGTGAAGGGGTTAGGGGGTCTTGGTGAAGGGGGTTAAGGGGGTTCAGGGACTGGGTTAGGGGTTCTTGGTGAAGGGGGTTTAGGGGGGTTCAGGGACTGGGTAAGGGGGTCTTGGTGAAGGGGTTAGGGGGTCTTGGTGAAGGGGTTTAGGGGGTCTTGGTGAAGGGGTTAGGGGGTCTCGGTGAAGGGGTTAGGGGGTCTTGGTGAAGGGGGTTAAGGGGGTTCAGGGACTGGGTTAGGGGTTCTTGGTGAAGGGGGTTTAGGGGGGTTCAGGGACTGGGTAAGGGGGTCTTGGTGAAGGGGTTAGGGGGTCTTGGTGAAGGGGTTAGGGGGTCTTGGTGAAGGGGTTTAGGGGGTCTTGGTGAAGGGGGTTAAGGGGGGTTCAGGGACTGGGTTAGGGGGTCTTGGTGAAGGGGGTTAAGGGGGCTCAGGGACGGGGTTAGGGGGTCTTGGTGAAGGGGGTTAAGGGGGCTCAGGGACGGGGTTAGGGGGTCTCGGTGAAGGGGGTTAAGGGGACTGGGTTAGGGGGTCTCGGGGAAGGGGGTTTAGGGGGTTCAGGGACTGGGTTAGGGGGTCTTGGTGAAGGGGTTAGGGGGTCTCGGGGAAGGGGGTTTAGGGGGCTCTGGGACGGGGTTAGGGGTTCTGCTCACCGTGTAGTCGCGGGGGGTCCTGGGCTTGAGAATCTGGGCCGGGCCGAGGTCTCCTCGCTGGGCCGGGGTCCGGGATTGGTGACCGGCGTCTGCCTGCGTGAGTCTCTCTCCCTCCCCCCTGGCCTCTCTCCCTCACGCGTCTCTCCTCCTGTGCTTGTCCACGCTCTTCGAGTCCACCTCTCGCCTCGTCCGCGTCTGCCGCTCTCGCGTTTCTCCTCCTCCTCCTCTCCGCTCCCTCTCGTTTTTACCTCTCCCTACGCTCTCCCCCCCTTTGATTTCCCAGCGCGGATAGGCACGGCCACTGCCCCCCCCCCCGCCTTCTTGCCCCCACTGCCCCCCCCCCCCTCGTGACGGCGAAGCTCAGCCAATCGCAGGCCGAGTTACGGCGCGTCGCGCGCTCGCCTCAGCCAATGGCGTTACGAGAAACGGATTAAGGGGAGGGGGGGTGGGGGCGTGAGGGGCGTGAGAGAGGCGGGCGGTCGCGGTTAGAATTGCAGAGGTCGCCCTGGTTAATGCTGCGATGTTGGAAGTTGATGGATTGGTTGTTTTTGTTCGCATTTGTTTTTAGCTGGTAAGGAAAAAACTTGCATGCAACCTTAAGCCGATTTACAACAATGACCCACGGAGGGCCTTGCTGATAAAATTAAAGTAAGTGACAGCGATTGAAGCATTAAATTGCGTTCGATGAAAACATAATTAAAGTCGTACACCATTTCAGTAACACTGACATATAACGCCAAATAGCGCGGGGTTTGCCAATGCGGAGGTGTGTTGACGATATTTCCACGCTGTATGCTTAACAGTGGACGTTAAATAGCCCCTGGATGTCATTCGACACGAGAAAGCCATTGTGTGCTGATGTAACATGAAGATATTGTACCTGCAAATAATTACATTTTGACTGTTATATGTACGGAAAACTGTAATCATCGCCCCCTACTGGCAGAGTAAAACATATTCCTGCGGAGGGAGCTGGTAGGAACGTTGGGTTGCTCGGTCAATGGCCAGGGTCAACGGCGGCGTGGTGTATTCCGCAAATATGGCCGACTGTGAGGGCGGGCACAAGCCGGCGTGAGTAGGTGAAACGTTGAGCTTTATAAGGGCACCACGGGGTGACCAGCCCCTCCCCACCCAGCCCCACCCCTCCCACCCCCCACCCAGCCCCACCCAGCCCCTCTCCACCCAGCCCCTCCCCACCCAGCCCCTCCCCTCCCTCCCCACCCAGCCCCTCCCCACCCAGCCCCTCTCCACCCAGCCCCACCCCTCCCATTTTTGGATGCACGACGGACGGACACAATAATCCCCTGTGGGCTGGTGTAACCAGGAGGTTCCTACCAGTATAATAATGTGTTGCGATGATTAAGAGTTGCAAAACCCATTGATCTGCAACGAAAAATAAGAGACAGCTGTGATTTAATACTATTCTCAAAACCCTGTACTCGGAGCACTAAATGTAATCTTTAAAAATAACTAAAATATGTATTGTGAGGGATTAAACAAATTATAGGATTTCAATAACATTCTGTCGAACGAATGATAATAGGCACGCAGATTGAACAGTTATAGTGATTTTAAATAAACCGTGTCAGTCTTGACCATTGAGGACATCACTTGAAGAGGTATGCATAAATTATTTTGTAGTAGTAGTATGATTATAGAAGTGAACGTTGCTTCGTTATCCGAACGGGGATCTCTTACAGTGATTCACGTTCAATTGGGTCACAACATAATCAGAAAACGCACCTGTATTTTCACGTAAAATGTATTTATTTACGCATTACATCAGCTGCAACCTCGACAGCATTGGTTCCCGCACCTCCGATGTAGCACGGTTGGCCACGTACGGTGCGAAAGAAGTTCAACGTACACGCATCAACACAAACCTCTGGACCGGCTTCTATATATCCAGTGTCTTGACAGCAAAGTCCTGCCTGCTTAAATGCTGGTGCCTTGCCAGTCCTGGGCCTCCTCGAAGTTGACTCACCCTTTAACGGATACTGAGTGCAGAGCACTTGCCCAAGAGTCTGTGTTGGCCATACGGGTGATATTTGTCTCGGATGTATGTACTACAAGGCCGTAGCCATGGAGTCAACATTGGGGGGGACCAAATCTTCCAGGGTGTCTGGGGGTCCCAACCCAGACAAATATCGAAATTTGAAAATCTAATTTCCTGCCGAAAATATTTAAAAATTCACTAACACATGGGATAGACTTTTTATTTATTTTTTACAATAATGTCTAATAGTGTATTGTATTACATTGCTCTGTTTTAACTTGTTTTTTACCATTGTATGTAATGGCAGAGAATAGGGATCAATAAAGTACAACCATAACCACAATCATATAAACATAAATCTATGCATTGATTTATATGAAGACAAGTCCAGATATTGTGGCCAAGGTTTAGCAAATTGTGTTTTTATTTACATAGCATAGCAATTATTTTTTATACATAATATTGGGGGGGGACATTTTGAGCATATTTGAATATTGGGGGGGGATGTGGGGATGTGTCCTCCCCAATATATTATAATTACGGCCTTGATGTACTACGTATGTTGAACCTCTTTCGCACCGTACGTAGCCGACCGTGCGAATCGTCGCTGCGAATGTGTGTAAATGTGATATATGTGTGACGTATGCGTGAGAGATTTATATTTGGGTGCAAGATTCTATTATACACTAGCCTTTTGCCCGTCCAAGGACGGGTGTATTGCAGTAAATCTGAAACTTGCAAGCGAAAAGCAGACCGGGACGTGATATTCATTGCGTCCATTCGTGTGCAATTTGTAAGGCCGCGGTGACACATACCTATTTCATTTAAAGGTTATAATCCCTTGTTCATCATGACGTCCTTTTTACTTCGATGTCTCAACAGCGTTACGGAGATCGCGTGACGTGAGGGTTCTGCCTTTGTCGTGAGGGTTGTAAGTTGACGCTGAGGAGGGGGGAGGAGGCGCCTCGCCCCCCCATGTGGAGTGACGTCACCCGCTAATTATTATTAATGGTAGGGGGGGTGTCCATTTCGAGGACGCCACCTGTTCAGGATTATTAATGAGGGGGGGGGGGGTCCATGCGGAGTGACGTCACCGGCTCATAATTATTAATGAGGAGGGGTGGGGAGTCCTTGTGGAGGACGTAACCTGTTCATGATTATTAATGAGGGGGGCTGGTCGACGTGGAGTGACGTCACTCGCGGGACACACAGACATTCTTGGCCCATTATCGTAGTGAATGCGGTGTGTTTCTGCGCGCGGTGTCGCTTGTGTCTGGTGTGGTGTCACACTGATGCTCGACGTGACAGTGAAGCCAGAACAACACTCACTCTGTGCAGTAGATTCTTCATCGAGAATTCCCTCCTCGATGGCGTCCAGCCCGTTCTGATCGGGCAGCATCTCCCCCAGACTCGGCCACGTTGCAGAGCTGACATTTACGTGGCCGGGAGAGGAAGCGGCTTGAGGCGGAGTCTGTCCTCTCGACCAACTGACGCCGAGGCCTCTCGCTCGGCAGGGTTGGTGGGGCGGTCAGCCATGTCTGGATTGGTGAGATGTGGTGGTGGTGGTGGTGGTAGGGCGTCACACGTACTCGACTTCACCAACCAGTTTGAGGAGAAATTCTCACCCCGCGCCGTATGGAACATTCCGGTTGGTACCACAAAAGGGCACGTGAGGTGGTAGGCAAGCCCAAGGCCCTCCATAATAATACTTTTATATAGCGGCGTCATTCACGCCGACAGCATCCCACAACGCTGCACATTAATTATATATAATGACCAAATGCCACATACGCGGTTGGCTACGTACGACGCGAAAGAAGCCCAACACACACATACATACGAAGTTCCGAGCAGCATCACAAATGAATAAACAAATCAAGAAATGGCACCGAAAAGAAAAGCACAAACAAACAACAACAGCAAAGAAATTAGGTCACATCCCACACTTAACTTCACAGCAGCAGAGGTCGTGGCGTCGTCTCGGAGTAGCAGATGCATCTGCGAGCGAGCGAGTGACGTTCGCCTTTGATAAGCAGCGTGGCCATCTGTGACGACAGCACCGCGTCATCGTAATGGACACGTGGGGTCTGTGACGTGCGTCGGGGGGGAGGAGCGGGGGGGTAGAGGCGGGAGGGGGCCGGGCGTCATGCGCGTCACGTGTAGTGACGATTCCCGTGCAGGGTCATCAACGCCAGTGACGATTATCTGAACCAGTTCTGGGCATCCACTAGGTCGATTCAGACTAAAATAAGTGCCTAGTGCGATATGTATACCTCGCGACTAGGGAGACCAATACGGCCTGGCGTGATGTTGGCCATGTATCCCCTCGTGTGCCGTGCCAGCCTTCATAGGTGCTCGCTAAAAACACTTGCCCTGTGACAGTCTGTTAAGGCTGTACTGATAATATTTGTCTTTGTGTGTGTGGTTACCTGTGACTTGGCACCCCAGCATATTTAACTATTATTCCTTGTGAAAAAATATTCTTTCAATCCTCTCCTTTGAACATCCTCCTAAAAATCACCAAATCTCAAACGCCTCCTTCCTTTAGGTACCCCTATAAGCCAGGCCGTGAGATTTCCACATTCTTGGTTCTTTCGGTAAAGTCACGTGACTTTACCGAAAGAACCAAGAAGATGAATCCTTGCAGTCACGAAAGCTTTAAATCGAAAAATAAAAATTTCCACATTCGTATGGCCAAGGTCTCACTCCAGGGTTTCTCCACGATTTATCACAGTTTAGGTCTAGTTCCCGCGGTTTACCTTGCTTCATTCCACAAAGTGCTTTCCACTTTGTGGAATGAAGCAGGCACGCGAAACCGGGTCAACCTCACAGGGGTCACTCCATCGTGCACTTTCAGATGCACTTCTGCGGCTGTCTGGAACGCTCTTCCTTCCGATAACAGGAAGCCACTGGCGTTGTGCACTTATATATCGAGGCTGAAAACTAATTTCTTTAGAACTGCTTTTTTGTGTTTAGCTCGTTGTCCTCCCCCCGCATATCCAATGAGCACGGTTGACTGCGTACGGTACGAAAGAAGTTCAAATACGGTATATACATTGCTGTACTTTATGAACACATTCCTGCGGATGGAGCTGGTAGGAACGTCGGATTGCTCGGAGAATGGCCAGGGTCAACGGCGGCGTGGTGTATTCCGCAAATATGCCCGACTGTGAGGGCGGGCACAAGCCGGCGTGGGTAGGTTAAACGTTGAGTTGTATAGGGGCACCACGGGGTGACCAGCCCCTCCCCACCCAGCCCCACCCCTCCCACCCCCCAC